GCTGCACACTCGGGTGCGGCCGGAGGGTGGAGCTGCGATGAGGTGAGGGTGGCCTCGCCCGAATCCTGAAGCGGCCAGTGGGAGCGGGACGGGGGCCCGGGGCCGGGCGTGCGGGGATGCGTGGTCCCCCCAGGATGAAGCCGGGGTTGGGGGAGCGCTCTGGGTTCGCGGGCGCATGGCGGTCCTCCAGGCTGGGCGGAGCCGGGCGGGGTCGGCCAGGGCCGCGCACTCGGAGCGCCTCTTGCGCGCTCCTGCCTTTCTTGGCCCTTCCCCGCGGACCCCAGTCCCACCTCCCTGCGGACACCTCGCCAGGCCGGGGTGGCCCCGAGCAGTGGCCCCACGCAGGGCCAGGCCAGATCTGGGCTTGGTCTGGACTCAGTCCACGCGGGGGCGACTTTGGCTTCTACCTCCCGCGTGTCCCAACGCGCTCCCTTCCTTGGCGCAAGTTCCACCAGGACTTTCCAGCGGGTGTGGTGGGGTGACAAGCTGGTCACCACAAACATGAGACGGCACTGAAGCCCAGGTGGCCAGGTCCCCCTCCCTCTTCAAGGTCAGAACAGCCTAGGACAAGAGGGGGTGGCAGGGTAGGAGGGGGGTTGTCTGTGCCAGGATGCCCCCGGGGTAGGCGGCACCCCCTGGCGCTCCCTCACTCTCTGGCGCTCACACCCTTTGTCTGGCTTACCCACTCTCCCTCCTCCTGGCTGATCCTCTCCCCCACTCTGCCAGAGCGGGGAAAGTCCCTGCCCATGACCCTCCCACCAATACCCGCAGAGACCGACAGACTTAGTGCCAGAAGTGAGGATGGCCAGGAGGGCAGGGACAGACAGGGGACCCTTCCCTGGTCATCCTGAGGACAGTGGCCATGGTCTGGGATGGGGACAGGCCGAGGTGAAGGAAACCACTGCAGAGGGAAGAAGGACAGCAGGGTTTCCCTGCTGAGGGAAGAAGGAGGAGGCCAGAGTTGTTTGCTGTTCCCGGAGGGGAGGGACCGGATTTGGCCTGGACTGCTTCTGGCCTGGCTGGGAGCCGAGGGGCTTCCGCCTGCCTCCCCAGGAGCCCGCCCAGCCCTCTGTCCCCGTCCCTGAGAGGGCTCATCCCTGTAAGGCTCAGGGTGGGGACAGTCTCCGGGTCCTCCTGCCAGCCCCACTGCCCACGACTTGCCCCCAGCCAGGCCAGCTCAGGGCTCTCCGGGGCCCAGGGCCGACAGTCCTGTGGACGACCCGGAAAAGCACTTCTGCCTGCATGGGCAGCCGCTGGCTCCCAGCAGAAAACAAAGGCAGCTCAGACCCGGCTGGCTTCTGTCCTGCCCTGGCCGGCTGGCTTCTGTCCTGGCCCGGAGCACTGGTGGAGGGAGTGGGCTGGGGTCCTGCCCATCCCCCAACCAGGCTGCACCCCAGCACCCCCCTACCCCAGCAGCCAATACCCCTGAGTGTGAGCAGAATGGAATCTGGGCCAGGACACCCCAGAATGACCTCAGGATGCCATGCCTTTGTGTCCCCAGCTACCATTCAGCTGGGTGGGGAGTCAGTTCCCTTCCAAGCCATTAGACCCAATCAATTCTGTCTTCCCAGCTTGGGCTGGTAATGTGTGGCCATTGACCCACCCGGTGGGTCTGAGGGTCATCCCCCTGCCCCCTCGTGGCCACATCCTAGGGCCGGCCAGTGCAGCGTGGTTCTGACAGCCCTGAGCTGCAGCTGCCACAGCTGGCGTGGGATCCGAGCCCGCCTCGGGCTCAGCCAGCTCCTGCCTGCCCTGGTGTGGACACCGGGGGTGGGGGGATGGCTGGTCAGTCTGTGTCCCAGCATCCTTGGGTGGAGTGGCCAGAGGGCTCTAAGCCTGTGCTGCCCCCTGGGAAGGGAGTCGGGGGTGGGGGTCCTGGAGGCTGGTCTTGGCCTGGCTGGGCCACTCAGGGCCCTGAACCTAGGCTACCAGGAGGATTCATTGCTCTTGAGCAGTACCCCCCGGCCTCTCTAGGGGGTGCCCTGGCCAGGCCCTCACTCCCTGCTCTGCCGGTGCCCTAGGGGAGGCCTGGCCCAGACAGCAACCTCTCTGTGAGCGGGACCAGAAGAGCCACTGGTCCTTGGCCTCCTCTCGTGACTCGGCCAGATTCTGCCAGGTTCAAGGGGCCATCCCGCCTGACCCCTCTCCTCCCTGACGCCTCTGGCCAGGCCCCTTCCCTTCTGAATTCCAGCTTCCACCTCCCAGCTCCCCCGCCTTTTTCCTGCTGGGCTCCCCTGAGGAGGCCCCAGCTTCCGCCCATTGGGAAGGCCCCCCACACTTCCGTCCACTGGGAGGTGGCCTCCATTGGGATGTGGCCGGCTGCCACAGCACGTGGTGGGGAGAGGGGAGGAAACAGGACAGGAAGAGACTGGACCTGGACATGGAAGGGGTCCGACCCGCTCCTCAACAGCTGGTCTCAGACCTTGGGTGCCAAAGCAGCAGCTGGAGGCCGTGGGGTGGGGGCTCTCGGAGCTCAGGGTGAGGAAGCCAAATATAGACAGGCAGGTGTCATGTCCCACGGGGTCCCACGGGGGACAGGGACTGGCCTCCCCACAGGGAGTCTGGAGGCTCAGGGCCCCCCCCCTTCAGCAGGGGGCTCTGCCAACTCCATGAGGGCCGACTGGGGGGTTCAGGGATATGTGTGAGGGAGGGATAGTTGTGTGTGAGGGAGGCAGGTGTGTGAGAGACTAACAGATGTGTGAGGGAGAGGAGTGGGAGGCAGGCATGGGAGGGAGGGGCAGGTGTAATGTGGAGGGGATTAACAGGTGCTTGAGCTGGGACCCGGCACAAGATGCCGGCTCCACCCCGCGACCCCAGGGCGGTGAGGGTGACCGAGACCCAAAGGAGAGCAGGGCCCCGAGGACGGAAGGAGTTCCAGCCTTGGGGGGTGGGGGGTGCTACGTGGCTCCCGTGTGGGGAGGGGGGATGGGGTGGGAGGCCGCCCAGGGTTGAGGAGGACAGGGGCGGGGCCGACCGCGGGGACACGCGGCGCTGCCCTGACGTCGCTCCCGCCCCCAGCTGAGAAGGTGAGCTCCCTGGGCAAGGACTGGCACAAGTTCTGCCTCAAGTGCGAGCGCTGCGGGAAGACGCTGACGCCCGGGGGCCACGCCGAGGTGAGCCCCTCTCCCAGCGGGCGGGGCCGGGGGGCGGGACTTGCGGGCAGGGCGCCGGCCCTCACCCTGTGCCCCTCCTCCTAGCACGACGGGAAGCCCTTCTGCCACAAGCCCTGCTATGCCACGCTGTTCGGACCCAAAGGTGAGCCTGGGGCCGCCCCGCCCGGCCTGGGACCCGCTGTGGCCCTGGAGGGGTGGCCAGTGTGGATCCTCCGCCCAGCACAGACCTGGGGCCGGCAACGAGGGTCCTCTGGCGCATGCTGGCCCCTCCCTGACAGCCCGTCCGGTTCCTAGAAATCTGCCCCAGCCCACTGGCGCCCTCTGGGTGGGGATCCTGACCCATAGACTGGCTGTGGAGAGCCCTCTTCTAAGACGTCGGTGGGGTGTGAGGGCTGGGTGGTGGGTCACCGGCCACCCACCTACGGTGCCTGCCACCCCGCAGGTGTGAATATTGGAGGTGCCGGCTCGTACATCTATGAGAAGCCCTCTGCTGAGGGACCTCAGGTCACTGGCCCCATCGAGGTCCCCGTGGCCCGCGCTGAGGAGCGTAAGGCGAGCGGCCCCCCCAAGGGGCCCAGCAAAGGTGGGCTGATCTCGGTGTCTGGGGGGAGGGGTGTGGGAGCCGCTTTGTCCGGCCCTGACTCCCCCTCCCCCGCAGCCTCCAGCGTCACCACGTTCACCGGGGAACCCAACATGTGTCCTCGCTGCAACAAGAGGGTCTACTTTGGTGAGTGACCACGCCCAGCCCCCACCTCCGGGAGGTCTATGCGAGGGGCCTCGGCATCACCATCTCTCCCCCTTCCCAGCCGAGAAGGTGACGTCTCTGGGCAAGGACTGGCACCGGCCGTGCCTGCGCTGCGAGCGCTGCGGGAAAACGCTGACTCCGGGCGGGCACGCAGAGGTGAGGCGCGCGCGGGCGGGACGCACGGGGCCAACGAGGAGGGGGGCGGCGGGAGGGCCGCGAGGGCGCGAGCAGGTGGACACCCAGGGGGCGGGCTGGTTGGGAGGGGCGCGCGGGTGTCAACGCGCTGGGCTGGGCTGGACTGGAGGGGCGGGAGGGCCGCGCCAGCGGTGGGGGCTGCCTCCTGGTGGCCGGAGTGGAGGCTCGCAGGCTCCAGCCTGCTCGGTGGCGCCGAGCTGTCGTCCCCACCACCACCAGGTGAGTGGACCTAGTCATGGCTTTGGGAGCTTGAGGGCTCTTGGGGAGGGAGGGAGGGAGGCGCCTGGACAAGGAGGAAGCCACCAAGGGGAGTGGGGAGAGAGGAGTCTGTGGACTCCGCCTCACCCTGCCCCCTCTTTCTGCCCCTACCCAGCACGATGGCCAGCCCTACTGCCACAAGCCATGCTATGGGATACTCTTTGGACCCAAGGGTGAGTGTGACCAGCAGTGTCTGGGATGCAGGTGCCCCCTCCCTGCCCTCCCTCCCACTCTCCCACCTCTCTCCGCAGGAGTGAACACTGGAGCCGTGGGCAGCTACATCTATGACAGGGACCCTGAGGGCAAAGTTCAGCCCTAGGTCTGCAGCCCCCTCCAGGGGCATGCGCCCATCTGCCTCCTGCCGGCCCTGCCCAGGGGCCCACTGCTTGGCTCTTCGGGGAGAGTGACAGCTGCCCAGTCCCCCCTCAGCACGTCTTGCCTGCAAGTCCAGGGCCTGCTGCTGGGGGAGGAAGCCACCCTGGGCCATTGAGATGAGGCCCACCACCCATCCTTGTTTCTTGGGCCATGTCTGTCTTTGTGTCCCAGCCACCTGTTACCCTCTTTGTATCCTCATGGCTCCATGTCCATGTGGCCCCATGTGTCCTTGTGCATCCCCATGTCTGTGTCTGGTGTCCCCACATGTCCCTGTGTCCCCATGTCTGTTGTCCCCACATGTCCCTGTGTCCCCATGTCTGTTGTCCCCATGTGTCCCTGTGTCCCCATGTCTGTCTGTGTGTCTGGTGCCCCCATGTGTCTCTGTGTGTCCTGTGGCCCTCTGTGGGTCTCTGAGGTGGCCATCCCACTCTCCCCCTCCTGCTGCCTGCCCCACAGTGTTATTTATGCCCCTCTCACGGGTGATGGTCATGGCCACGCCCCTCACAGTGTTTCAAGGGCAGAGGGCATCCCTCCAGGAGCCCTCTGCCGTCTCCCACACTGCCTCGCGAGCGCCCACCCGCCACCGTCATGTGGTTCACACCCAAATACTGAGACTTTTGCTGCCAATAAAAGGTTTGAGGACTGCAGGACCCAGCGCTGTGTCTGTTTGTGGGATGGACATGAATCCAGGACAGTGTCCCTTTGTCCCATCCACAAATACGCCAACACCCTGGGCTGGGCTTCTGGTGGGGATGCGGTCCTGTTCCCGAGGGTGGTGGCGGTGGGTGGGAGGCAGTGAGGCTCTGGTTTGGGCTGTGGTGCCCACACTGAGGTGGGGTGGGCGGCTGAGAGAGGGACCACACTAGGTGGAGGTGGAGGGTGGAAGGCATCCTAGGGATGCCCTAGGATCTTGGTCCCCAGAAATGCCAACAGTGGGCTCTAGAGCGGGAGATGCCTGGATCCATCAGAGACCTAGAGAGGAGGGAGGGGTCAGCCTTGGGAAAGTGAGCAGAGGGTGTGGCATGGAGGGAGAGGGGATGCGGGACCAGAGGAGAGGTCCTCTGTGGGGGTTGGGGGAGCTGGCGAAGGGCGGGCAGGGGAGAGGTGGGTCTTCAGTCCAGGACTGAGCCTGGAAGTACAGAGGGTTTGGATGGGGAACAGTGGGGTTGGGGCAGAATGCAGGCAGTCTGAGGGTGGGGGCTTGAGGCCCTCCTGCCAGGTGCTCCGGCCAGACCAGCGTCCCTGCGTCTGGGTGTGCAGTGATTATGGAGTCGCCCCCGCCTCCCCAGGCGGTCCAGGCTCTGCCCTTTCAACCGGGACCCCCTGGCATATCCAGGCAGCCCCCCTTACTGTCTGCCTTCCCTTTACCCGCCGCTCCCGGACAGCCCACCAGAGGGCGCGCCTTCTCCTCCACGGCGCGCAGACCGCTCCTCCCCTGTCGGCCCCGGCCCTGCCCGCCCCCGGCGCCGCACCCTGGAGGTAGGGGCTTCCGGGCCTGGTCACCTTCGGGCCCATGTCCCCAGAGCCACAGGCGGCCGGCTCCCCGTGTGCCCTGCACCCCAGGGCCAGCTCCCTGCGCCCCAGCCCTTGGCAGAGGCCCCTTCCTGGTCCACCCGCCAATACGCGGGCTCAGACAGCTGAGCCTGGATGCCGGGCCCATTGTCCTGCGAGCAGCCATCCGTGTCCCTTGGGGTGGAGCGGTCGGCTCCGGTGTCCAGCAATGCCAGGACGCCCTCCTCCTGGCCAGTCGAGCCAGGCGCCCAGCGTCGGCGGCGGCGTCTCCTCCCACCTGGCCGGCACCGGGAATGAAGCCAGGATGTGCAGGGCGAGCCGGCCTGCAGTGGGGGGACTCAGGGGCAGGTACCCCAGGGGCGCCCAGACCCCCACCCCAGGCAGAGGGAAGGTTCGGGCAGGTACCGGCCCCGGCGCGCGCTCAGAGGAGGGGCCGGACGACTTCCCTCCTCGTCTCCACCTCCCGCCAGGATGAGGCTCCCCGGTCGGAGGGTCGTTTGGGGGAGAACTCAGATTTCTTTGAGCACCCCCATGCCTGCCCTGGCTGCGGGCTCGCGGTATCGGAAGGGAAAGTCCTGCCCCCTGGTGTGGGGGGGTGCTGCTGAGGGCACAGCCGGGCCCCTCCCTCGGGAGCCTCCAGTGGAAACTATGTGAGGAGGAGGCGCGGTGGGCAGCGCGCCCTGGCCCGGACCCGGGGGGCGGGGCCTACTGGAGGGTGGGGGCCGCCAGGCCGGGCGGGGGTCGCTCCGAGCGATAATCGCCCGGCCGCCCGGCCGCAGCACTCCCACCCGCAGAGTGGTGGGGCGGGCGCGTCCCATTTCCTGCAGGCGGAGGACGACCCGCCGCCGCGTTTGTTTCCAAGGGGTTGTCATGGAAACCGGGCGGTGCCGCTACTGCCAGTCTCAGCGCTGCGTCGCCAGGCGCGTGGGTGGGGCCGAGGGCGTCCCTGAGTTGCCTGGCTCCCTCGGTGGCACCAGCTCCAGGAAGCACCCCCCGCAAGCCAGGTGCTTCCTCGGGCGCCCGCAGCCCGGGACGCCCCGCAAGATTCAGGGGAGGGGGAATAGGCGCCTGTGTCCCAGGGTGTGTCGCCTTCTCTGCCCTCCCCCTGGCCGCCACCCCCACCCCTCCAACCCATGCTCAGCCGGTGAAACGGCCCTGTAATGCCATCTGACCATCTCGCTCCCCCTCCAGAACCCCAGAGCTGAGCACAACGCCCCGGCCTCCTTCACCATCCTGCTCCCCAACCGCACCCCACCTCCCACGGGTCCAGTCTTCCTACGCTTCCTGGCCAGGCCCCTCCAAACCCCCAAGCCGCCTCTGCCCCCCACCTCTGACCTGGGCCAGTAGGGCCTTGGCTGGTGCCCGCAGCCAGGCATCTCTGAGGGGCCTGTCTGCTTGTGCTCCCTCTGCCCCCATTTCCCTGAGGCCCAGATCCTCTGGCCCAAGACCCAGACCCCCAGCACCTCTCCCTCCAGGTCCTGCCCAGCTTCCCCTGGGCCAGTGACGCCCAGCATCAGCCCTGGGCAGCACTCCCCCGACACACACACCCACCACACCCACCAGAGGCTCCTTGTGGACCCCTCCCCCAGCTCAGGCCAGCCTCCCTGAACTTCTTTAGGACTAGGAGGGGCATGACTCCCTCCTGTCCCTGGGTCCATGCACCCAGTTCACTGGCCACTGGCTGTGACCCGAGGGCTGAGTGTCATGAAATCACTTAAGTGCCAGTGACCCTGGCTCTGGGCTGCTGGCGGCTGGGCCAGGCGAGGACTGGTGGGGGACCAGGGCGGCCAGGTGCAGGCAGCACATTTTCCCAGGGCCTGGCTGGCTGCGGCTGGTGGGCTCAGGGCCCATGAACAGGCTCAGCAGCTGGACTGGCGAGGCTGGACTTGGACGGGCTTCTGCCTGGGCTTTGGCTCCAGGACAGAGATTCCTGGAACCAGGCTCGGTGGGGGCGGGGGGGGGGGAGGCGGGATAGGGGCACCCTAGCTGGCCAGACTCTGTCTGGCTGAGGGAGCTGAAGGTTGTATGTGCTCCCATCCCTCCACCCCACTCCCTCAGCATTGGGGAGGGGAAGAAGCCACCCTGCCCTCCCACCTGGTGGGGGTGAGGCCTGTGGACAGGAGCAGAGCCCCTCTGGGAAAGCACAGCACCGTCTGGGCATCTGGTCCCTTCCCCCTACCTCAGGGCCCCTAGGGGCCATTGGGCCTGGGAGGCCCACCCTGGGGCCCGACCTCAGGGCAGACAGAGGGTCCCGGGAGACAAGCTGCTGAAAATAGCCCCTGGGAATGTCTGAGTGTCCATGACGCAGCGCCCTGGGGAGGGACGGGGGGTGGACCTTGCAGAGGGAGCAGCTCTGATCTGGGCTCAGCAGTCAGTCGTCCTGGGGCACGTGTAGGCCAAGCAGGGCACCTGGGTGCATGCAGGAACACGGACAGCCCGGCTGGCCTCCAACCTTAGGAGGGGACATCTTACACCAGTCCACACCCCTCCGCTCGACCGCACTGAGGAGGGGGCCTGGAGGCCTGGGCTCTGGGTGGGGGCTTCAAGGATGGTGGGGATGAGCCAGAGGCGAGTGTTACAGTCTGTGGAGGGAGGGGGTGCAGGGGGGGCTGTCCAGCCCTGAGAACAGAACTTTCCCAGTGGGGGCGGGTGGCCAGCCCCTGGGGGTGGATTCCTTAGCGGTCACTGGGGCCCAGCACTGCCTTCACCCGTTCTCCCCAAGCCTGGAGCCCAAGCCCTACGTGGGCTGCCTGGTGGCCCTCTCGGGAATTCTGCAGGGCAGGGTCCTGCCTGGTTCTTGTCTGGGTCCCCAGCTGAGCCTGGGCAGAGCGTGAGCAGGTGAGGGTGGGAGGTGTCAGAGGGAAGGATGAGCAGATGGAGGTGGCCCTGGCCGGTGACCCCAGAACCCTGCAGCAGCCTCTCCGAGAGCTCAGGGCCCTGGGGTGCCCTCACACTGTCCTGGGGTAGGGCAGGATGTTCTGGGCACAGAAGCAGCCTGGGGCAAGCAGCGGGGTTGCTCTGCGTCCCTGTCCTGAACACTCTGTCCCTCACCCTCCAGACGCGTCCCCTGTGCCTGCCGGTCAGTGCTGGGAGGGAGAAGAGCACAGGGCCTCGTGCTGGCAGCACTGGGGGGCAAGGTTGGGGGTGCACCTTGGGGTGTGAAAGGGGGTTCACTGTGTCCTCCATTTGTTCCTGCAACAAATGCCAACAGTGTCCCAAAAGAGTGGGGGTGAGGAGTGGAGGGCCGGGCAGGGCAGATTTGGGTCTTGAACTGGCCCCGTGGTCCTGAGTCAGGCTGACCCTGGGCCAGGTGAGCTGATGGAGGCTCAAGGCCTTGCTCCTGGTTGGGGCCGGGGTCTCAGGGACACTGTCCGGGGCCTGACTGGGGCCCAGCCTCAGATGGAGATGTGCCTGGACATAGAGCTAGGGGAGCCAGAAGCTGTCCACCCACCACAGCCCCTGGGAGCTGGGGGGCTGCACCCCATGAGGGGCCCCATCCCCACTGGCGGGCAGGATGGGTTGGGAGCTCAGGGGAGTTGGGGGGCTTCTGTGGCTGAGGCTTTGGGAGGACTCCAGGGAGAGTGTGTGTGTTTCTGAGTCGAGTGTCTGGAAAAACTGTGCTGTATACCAACCAGAGGGCACAGCCCATGGCTCTTGCCCCAACCCCCCCTGTGACCATGGCAATGGGCAATAACAGCAGGGAAGGCCAGGAAAGGACTCATCACCCCTGTGGCTTTCGGGGGGGCTCCCCTGGGCAGGGCGGGGTTGGACTCACAGTGTGGGGCCAGGGCCATCCCTGGGGTGGGGTGGGTGGAGGAGAGGACAAGCTCACTGCCCCACCTGCCCAGGAGCCCCTCGTGGGCTGGGGGTGTGGGCTGGACAGATACATGGGGAGGAAGGCAGCTGATCTGAGAGGGGCTGTGCACATCCCCCCAGAGATACCCAGCTGGACGCACCCACACACAGGCATGCCTGCAGGCACACCCCTCACGGCCACACCTGCAGGCACCAGACACATGTGTGCGTGTCCCTGTACCCTGTACCCCTGGAGCATATCATCCTCTGGGAGGTGGAGGCAGCCCCACCCTGGCACCTGTGGCCTCTGCCCAGCACACCCACGAGGGCAGCCTTCTCAGCGAATGCAAAATGGTGCTTGCAGTGTGTGTGCCCTGAGCCCCCAGACCCGCCGTGACAGACCCCCTCCTCCCCAAGACCATGCTGGGCCCTGCCCCCGGCTCTTCTCCATCGCCAGTGGTCTTGGCCCCTCTCCTGCCTCTGCCTCTGCCTCTCTCTGCCTGTCTGCATTTCTGTCCCTGGCTGTGTCTCTGTCTCCCCGCTCTCACCCCCTCACCCCCGCCTCTCTGGGTCATGGAGCCAGGAGATGAGGGAAGTCAGGACCCGCCCTCCTGTTCTTGGCCTGGCCAAAGCTGCATCAGGCTCAGGCCAAGGAGACACCAAGGGATGGGTGGGGGCGGTGGGGGAGGTTGGGCTGGTGCCTCAGCTCCAGAAACTACACCGAGGTACAAGGTGCCCTGTGCTGGGCAGAGAGGGTGTCCAAGCTCCAGGGCCAGAGCAGGGACACCTGGGGTTCCACCAGTACGGGGCGCACACCCTCACTCCCGAGGGCAGTGGGCAGCCAACTACTGAGGAGTTCCAGGACGGGGTGCGAGCCTTGCAGACCCCAGGGCTTGCAGAACCCCAGCAGGGGGCAGAACTGTGGCCTCAGAGAGGGGGTCCCAGGGAGGAGGGAGCGACTGGAGAGATGCATGGGGAGCAGGTGTGGGGGTGTGGGGTCGCGTGTGCTGTCTTTATCCAGAGGAGACTCTGGAGGTGGCCTCTGTCGCCCTTGAACCCTGGGAGCTCCCACCCTCACCACAAGCTGGGCCTCATGGTGGAGGCAGAGGGCAGGTCTGGTGTGGGGGTTGAGGTGGAGGCACCCATGGTTTCTCTTTCCTCTCCCAGTGCCCGGCCCTCACGGGGGTCTGATGGTGGGCAGGTGGGCTTCAGGGAGGGTGAGGTCAGGGTCACTGGGTGCTGTCCCGGCTGAGCGCCTGTGTAGGGAGGCCAGCAGCTCCTGGGCTGTTGGAGGATGGTCTCCAGCACCCTTCGTGGGGATGGGGCCTGAGATGATGTTTTGTTTTGCAAAATGGGTGTGTCAAGGGGAGATGAGGATGCTGGTAAGAGGGGTGGTTGAAGGGAGGGACCAGGATGGAGGGGAGGAAGGGCAGGAGGGCCGATGTGGTGGACCAAGAGAAGGCCAGGAGCTTAGGCACTGGTGAAGCCAAGAAACTGGGTGTGGCACAGGGTGGCCAAGGGAGCAGCCCGGGAAGGGTCCACAGAGTGAGGGGCAGCCTCTCCCCTCAGCAGAGAGAGGCCTGGCTGACAGTGACCAGGAGGGAGGTGGCTTAGGCCAGGCAGCGCCCTGCAGGGCAGGGATTTCTCAAGGGGGCATGGAGGCCCGGCCCCCACCCAGGCCAAGGCCGAGGCCTAGGCCTGGGTTAAGGGGCGGATGGGAGGCCCCGCCACCCCCTCCCTGTGAGGCTGCAGGCCTCCCGCCCGGCGGGCATACGATGGCCAGGACCCCGCAGCCCATGAGCGCCAGCGCCCAGACCCTCCCCACGAGCGGTTGGGACCGTCTCCGCCCGGCACGGAGAGGCGCGGGCCCGGGCTTTCCTGGGCCGCGGACTTGGACTGCCCCCGCCCCTGCCGCGCTCGGGCCCTTCCCGCAGAGATAAGGCCCCTCCCCCGCCGTCCCGGCAGCTCCGAGACGGCTAGGGGTGGCCGCACCCCCTTCCCCCGCACAGTCCCCGGACCCCGCAGCCGCCGTGCCCCGCTGAAGGAGGGGGAGCCCCGTCTCGGAGTCCCCCCCTTCCGAATTCCCCGGGGACGTTCCCGCTGCGGCCTGATGGACTTCCCGGGGAGCGGCGGGGGTGGGGGGGTCGCAGAGGCCGGGACGTCCCGCGGGGGTGCGGGTGGCGCGGGCCTCCTGGTCCTGCGAGTGATGAAGGCTGGATGAGAGTCCTTGGGGGCTACCAGGCTGACTCTCCTGGCAAGTGTCCCCGGCCCTCTACTGGAGTATGTGTGCGAGGTTCTCGCACGCTAGTTGCATCTATTTGCATCTGGAGGTGACCGTCCCCTCCCTGGCTCTAGCATATCTGGGGGCCTGAGCAGGTGCCGGTGGGATGGGGCTGGGGGCGTGCTTTTCTGCTCCTGGGGAGCCCCCTGCACCGGATCCCGGACCCCGCGACTCCAGAGCCCCGGGCGAGGGGCGGGGCTGGAGCCCCGGGAGGAGCCTCGCCCCTTCGCGAGTCCCCGGATCCCCTGCGCCCCCTGAGGCCCCGCTCGGCAGTTGGCTAGGCCTGGGTCCTGCCCAGAGGCGGGGGTGGATCAGATGACCTTTCTGGACCGATTGACCTGGCACCGAGGTCCCCGGGTCCAAGTTCTGGACTCAGGAGGCGGGGCGCGAGGGGCGGGTCTCAAAGGGGCGGGGTCCCGGGGTCCCTGAAAGGCTCGGACCCGGCGGGACCCACCCAGTCCGGCGCTCCTGTCTGCTCCCGCCCAGCCGCCCGCCCCGGACCCGCCGCCGCCATGCCCAAGTGCCCCAAGTGCGCCAAGGAGGTGTACTTCGGTGAGCGCGCCTCCGCCTACCCCGGGCCCCTCCGGCCCGAACCGCGGCGCACCGCGCGGCCCCACGCGGAAGCGCGGCCCACGGGCGACCTGGCCAGGCCGCTCAGGTGGGCAGGGGGCGCCGGGGACCCTGGGGCTCCGCCCCGGGAGTGGACACCTCAGCCCTGCCCGCGGCCGCCTGGGTGTGCGGTCGGGACCCCTGCGTCGCATGGCCCTCGGGCTCCGCGGATTCGGTGTCTCTGTGCCCTCGGTCCCGCTGGATCTCCTGTCTCTCGGTCTCCCCCTTCTCTGATCTCTCCATTTCTGGGGCTCTCCGACTCTGGGTCTCCCCGTCTCAGGGTCCTGTTCTCCCGTCCTTTCTTAGGCGCGCCCTGGGCGGGGACCCCGCGGGACAGGAAGGAACGCGGCCTCCGGCCGCCCCTCCCAGCGCTAAGTAGAAACAGACGCGGAAACTGGCGCCCTGGGCGCAATCCCAGGCGCCCTCAGATCCTGGGCGCCGCCTTCCTGCCCCGCGCCCCAGGGCCCATCCACGGGAGAGGCAGGCGGAAGGGAGAAGTCCCCTCGCTCCCGCCAAGGAGAAGGACGCCAGGCAGGCCCCACCCCGTCACTCTTGCAGAGGCCGAGGGCTTAACCCGGCAGCCTCCTGGCCCTGAGGCCCCCTCCCTCCTCTTCCTCAAGGGCCGGCGCCCCCTCCCGTTTGTCTGGCCAGGTTGGTGGAGGGGACTCCAGGTCCCCCTCCCCACCCATGGGGCACAGGGGCTGGCTGAGACCTTGGGTGGACCACCAGGCATGGGTGGGCCACGCCTTGGGCAGAGGTGGCTGGAGAAGGCGGGTGTGTGAGGGGGTGGGTGTGCCCTATGTCCCCAGAATAGTGTCTCACAGGGGCCTGTCTCCTCTGCAGCTGAGCGGGTGACCTCCCTGGGGAAGGACTGGCACCGGCCTTGCCTGAAGTGTGAGAAATGTGGAAAGACGCTGACCTCAGGGAGCCACGCCGAGGTAGGTGGGGTCTGGAGGGCTGCAGGGACACCCCCTGGGTGAGGCTGTGACAGCTCCTCATGGCCCTTCTTTCTGCAGCATGAAGGCAAGCCCTATTGCAACCACCCCTGCTATGCGGCCATGTTCGGGCCCAAAGGTACGCACCCCACAGCCCCGACCCAGCCCCCCACAGCCCCGACCTAGTCCCCACACCCCCTACCCAGCCCCCCACAGCCCCGACCCAGCCCCCCACACCTCCTACCCAGTCCCCCATAGCCCCAACCCAGCCCCCCCAGCCCCTGGCTGCCCCTCACTGTCCCCCATTTTCTCTGCAGGCTTTGGGCGGGGTGGAGCTGAGAGTCACACTTTCAAGTAAACCAGGTACACCCCCATCCTGCCCAGCCCAGCGGGCCCTCAGGATGGGGTCCCCAACTCCTGAGTGAGGTCTGACCACTCGTCGGGCCTGCACTCACCTGTGTCCCTGTCTCTCTCTGTGCAGGCTGTGGAGACCCCATCCCTGGCTGCCCGCCGGGCCGCTGCCCCTGGCCTTACCCCCAGGCTCCTGGGGCTCCCCTGTAGACCGTCCGGCCCTCAATAAACCTGAACACTTGGAAGACCTACCTGTGTGTGTGTCACGGGGCGGGGTTGGGGCTCGTGGCAGGGAGCTGCGGCGGGGGTCCTGATGCCAGGCCCTGCGGGGGCTCTTGCTCTTCTTGCTGTCTTGCTGTCCACACCCCATGCCCAGCCCCGGCCCCAGGGAGGCTCAGCTCTCCAGCTTCAGACCCGAAGATGCCCCAGCCCTCCTTAGCGCAGGGCGAATCAGCTTGAGCTCACGCTGGTTCCGTTTTTGAGCAGCTTTGGGGGAGCTGTGGTGGGGAGTCCTCGCCTACCCTCCCAACTTGCTGCTGCCCCACCCCTGTCCCCATTCCCTGCCCACCCCTACCCGATGCTGCCCCTCATCTGTCCCTCGCCTGTGCCCCGGGACTCCCAAGTGGCCGGCTGCCTGAAGGGGGAATTTGAGGACTGGCTGTGCAGTGATGGTTGGGGGCTTTCTGGAAACTCCTGTGTCAGTTCAGGCAGCAGCTGCAGACCCGGCCACCCTCAGAGCCCTCCCCAATCCCCCTGCTGGCCACTCGCACTCCGGCCCTGGCAGACGGCCCCCCTTCCCAGGACTCTGCTGACCTAAGTGCCTAGAGGGGGCATCTCAACCCAGCATGTGGCCTCAGCAATGCCCCGGGGCTCTGCTGGGGGTATGGCAGGCCTGAGCTGGACAGGCTGTGGGGGCTCAAGGGCATCGTGTAGGGTCGGGTGTGTGTGTGTGTGTGACTTCGTGATTCATGGAATTCCAAGAGGTGGGCGCTGGAGTGCTTCTGGTGGCAGATGGGATGGGAGCGGGGAGGGGGGGCACAGAGGATGCTGAGGTGAGGCCGGGTTTCTCAGTGGACAGTGAGGGGCTGGGGGCTGGAGTGGAGGTGTCCTTTGGGGGCCGGGGGACTGGGGGCTTTGAGACTCAGCAATGCCTTGTGGCCAGAGCCGGCACAGAGTGGGGAGTGGGTGCACAGGGAAATCTGCCCTGAGCTGTGGGCCCATCCCGACCGAGTAGCTCTGGTCCAGGTGGGGGCAGACTCCGTGCGTGCTTAGAGAGCTGACACCTGCAGGAAGCTGATCAGCTAGGCCTCAGGTGGGAAGAAGAGGACCCAGACCAAAGGCCTAGCAGGTGCGAAGGGCCAGAGAGGGAATGGGCTCACTGGGTTCCAGAACCACCGCCGGCTGCGGGGGGTGGGGGGTGGGGGAGCTATGGACTGTGGCAGCTGCAGGGCACTATGAGGGAGTTAACAGGGTGGCTACAAAGGCCTTCGGGCTGTGGAGACAGAAGGCAGGGCCAGACTGGAGCCCTCTCCTTGTCCCAGCCAGAGCTGAAGGTGGACCCCGGAGGGGACTGAAGGTGGGGGGGAGCAGGCAGCAATGCCCCCTGCTGGTGTGGGAGGTGAGTGGGATGTGGGGCCAGCAGGGCTGGCCACTGAGCTCAGCGTGGGTAGGGTGGGGGTGCCTGGGGTAGAGGCCAAGGTCTGGAGAAGGGGGTCGGTTGTGGGGAACACACGGGGTGAGGAGCTGGCTATGCCTGAGAGAGAGGCGGCAGAGGTGAGGAGCGGGAGGAAGATGGGGGATGGGGGACCGCATTTCCTGTGGGCCTGGCCAAGGCTGGGGGCGTTGTTGGGGCAGGCTGGGGTTCAGCGAGGACTGATACCTTTCTTGTTCCCTCTCTCTCTCCCTCTTCCTTCTGTCCCCTCTCACTCTCTTTTTTACAGTTTATTGAGGTATAATTTACATTCCATAAAATTCACCCGAGCACATTCAGTGATTTAACCAGTTCACAGAGTTCTGCGACCGTCAGCACAATCCAGTTCTAGACCATTCTCACCCACAAAAATCCCCTCCTGTCCATTTGCCATGGCTCCCGGTCCCCATGTCCTCCCAGGCCCCCCTGCTCTGCCTCCTGTCTCCGCGCTCACTCTCCTGGGCGTGTCACACACGTACAGTGCACATACAGTACAGGGTTTTGTGTCTGGCCTCTTCCACGTCTGAGGTCACCCGTGCTGAACGTGTCCGTGTTACTGCCAACCAGTCCTCCACCGGGTGGCTCACTGCACAGCGGGGGCCTTTTGGACTGCTTGGTGTCTGGCTGTTACGAACAAAGCTGTATGTACCTCCGTGTAGGTGACTCTAGGTCTCACAGCCTGGGCCCTGGCATTGCTGGGTCCGGCGGTAAACTTGTGTCTAACTCGGAAAGAACCGCCAGACCACTTCCCAAAAGTGGCTGTGCTGACGTTCCTTCAAAGCAGGAAGAAGAGGCTGAAGGTGCAGGACCGAGGGAGGCTGGGGGGTGGGGGGCTGAGGGCAGAGCATGGGCGGGGAG